TAAAGGTCCATGTGAGAAAGGCAGGGACAACACTGACACTAAAGTTAACTCCGCAATAAGGGATATACCTTTAACTTGCTGGTCTGTCTAATACTTCTCTAAATCTGAACATTCACATTGAGACAGACTAGGAAGAAGGATTGGCCATCCACTTCTGAAATAGCAGGCCTCTGAAAACCCTATGTAAAACAGAACAACCTCCAATGCAGTAGGGCAGTTATTATTTCAATAACCCTCTACTTATATTTCTTTTTTTCCAGAAGGGAAAACAAAGTATAAGAAGCTGAAAGACTTGCACAAAGTCACACAGAAACCAAGTGACAATGTCACAACCCCAATCCTCCCCCCTCAAGAGCTGTTGACATTGCTCCAGCTCCCCAGAGCCCTTTGGCTGTGGCAATAAACGTGAGAGCACTGGTTTAAATCTGGGAGTGAGGTCACATGTCTGCAATGTGTATCGGATCTTCTTTCGCTTCTGGTTTGTCTGGTCTGAGGTTCCAGCACAGTTTCAGAGCTGGGTCACATTAATATTCCTACAAACTGGCTCTGCACACTTTAAGGGCATTGGGTGGTTAAACCAACTGGACTACAACACTGGTATTTCTGTTCTTGCTTGTGCAGAACAGCCATAGCCTCAAGCAAAGCAAGGGATCAAACACAAAGGTCTCTCACTCTGGGCTCTGCTGCTTACATAAACACTCTCTGCTTTTAAACTTCTGGTTGAAATGATTCTAAGCACAGCAAATCTCAACGGTGGTACTATGTTCTCTGAGCGTAAGGTATTAAGAGAGGCATTCTTTTTTTTTTAATAATACACTTATCTTCATTGTGAAAACAATATATACACAAAACACTTTTAAAAAATCTCAAGAATTGGTTAGAGTGGATAGAACATGCTACCTGAGAATTTTTGGCTATAGCTTTCTCTAATCTGATTGGCAATTTAAGTAAGAAAATAATTTCTGCTCCATTTTGCAAGCACAAGGGATAAGCACCAATAGAGGTATAGACACAGTCTCTCAGCAAATAGCTGGTGACACGGCAAGACTTCCTACTCAGAACCAGGGCACCATGATGTCTCTCTAAAGAGGAAGTAGTAAAACTGGTACAGATTCTAATTTCAGCACTATTTGTAAGATTCTCCAGATACAAGTAGTTAAAAATCCCTTTGGAAATACAGTGGTTGTTCTTTTAGGAACAATTAAACAATTCTGAGATATTTTTCAGGGAAATAACCAGTTTTTACACTCAGATGGTGGAGCTCAGGGGTAGAATATTTGCCTTCCATGCTGGAGACTGAGGTTTGATTTTTGATCTGTGAATCTTTTGTATAACCACTATCCATCTGTCAGTGGAGGTTTAAAGGATGCTAAACAATTTTCAGCCTAACTTCAAGGCTAAGGCCGACTAGGAAGAAAGGGTTAGTGCTCTTGTTCTGATAATCAGACAGTGAAACTACACATCACAATACTTCTGTTTGCCACCAATCATGGAGATGGACCAAGACCAGGAAGCATTTCATTCTGCTTTAGTCATCACTGAGCCTGGAGTGACCTGACAGTGGCTCACAACAACAACAACATACCATCACAAGCAGTCTGCTTCTCTAAAGAACATGTGGTGTCAAAGAAAGCCAGTGACTCACCCCACAGACAACACTTCTTTTCTTACCCGTGCTCTGTAGGCATGACGACAGGCTGACTATCTTTGCAGGAGACACCTGCATGCCATGCATCCTTGCAACATGAGCAGAACTTCAGGTGGCAAGAAGGGCATTCCACCATGATGGGCTGTCCTGGGTCACTTTGTGCCACCGGGCACACCGTTTGACAGTCTGCGATGGGGCACCACGTCCGGTAGGGGTCCAGGTGAACTTCTAAAGTATAAAGAAAGAATAGGTGATGGACTTTCCATCTGTCATTCAGGCTTGAGGCTTTCTTCCTTTCCTGTGCTCTTCTCCCTACCCCCAACAATTTCTACATACTTAATTCTGTGACACTAGTTATATTCTTAAAGCTGTGAAAACATTCCCAGTAACTTTGTCCAAATAATTTAACAACTATTAGCATATACCTTCTAAGCAAAATCTCTGCTTGCCCTATCACTTGTAACCACTGATAACTTCTGGTTTCTATGTGTTTTCTTAGGGCATTCTGGTGGTATAGCCAGTAGAGAGTTTTGCTGCTAACCTCAAAGGTAATACCTCTATGGTGGTTTGAATCCACCAGTGACTATAAGAGAGAAATATGAGCAATCTTCTCCCTGTGAGATTTATAGCCTTGGAAAACCAATAGAGGGCCAGCAATGAGTTGGTTGCAACTCAACAACAATTAGAGAGAGACACATTATTCTGTTGTATATACGTATCACATTTTATATATATATATATATATATATATATCATAGCAGTGAAATGATGATGACATGGTATGTTTTCTTATTCCATATTAGTAAGATCATAAAGTGTTTGTTCTTTGGTGTCTGGCTTCCTTCTCTTGCCAGAATTATTTTTAAGGGTCTCTTCTGTTGCGGTATTGGCTTAAAAGTAGGCTTTTAAAAAGCCATTATAATTAGCCCTCTCTGGTCTCCAGCTGCTTTAACTGCAGACAAATTATCTTGCAAATCAGCATGGTTTTGCAAATTACCAACAGCTGTGGGACTAGGATAAGAGAAAGAGTCCTTCCCACACTGATCAGCAAGATTTGAGATAAGCAAGACTTGTGGAGAACAAAACTCTGGTGGTGGAGATACTGTCACATTGCTGTGGAGAAACTGACATTGCTGTAGAGAAACTGTGGCAAGGTAGAGCCTGAGGTGGCTTGCATTTGTGTTGGCCACAGTTAAAGATTTTTGCTGTTCTTGTTGGATGCTTGCAGGACAAGCTGGCTTATAACTACTCTGAGGCAATCCTTGTTGGATAATTTGGATTTGACTATTGAACTGAAACCAGACTGGACTGATTGAAGAATTGTGCCTTGAAGCTGCTGGGCTAAACCCTGCCCTTATTTTGGGTGATATTCTTTGACTTCCCAAATCTCTAAATTCCTTCCCTGATAAACCCAATTATTGGTACCATAACTATGAGTCTGTGAGTCAGGAACAAATAAACAAACCTCTTGCTGCTGCTGAGGCACATAGAGGGGCCATAGGGCTGGGCTATAGGCGCTTTATCTGCTTTTTGTTCTGGGGTGGTGAGAGGCTGTGCTATTCTTCCTCCTTCTTGCCCTTTTAGAAAGACATTACTGGTGCTGTGCCCCCTGTACCATTTCCAGCCCTTTAGACACACAGGTATCAAGACTTCATTCTCCTTATGGTTACATGGTATTTCATCGTAGATATGAACCACACTGTGTCCACTGGTGGACATTTAGGTTGTTTCCACCTTCTGTCTCTATTGAACAATGCTGCAGTGAACACTGCTGTGTAGGTTTCTGACTGAGTTCATGCTTCGTCCTTTTTTGGGAATAGACCTAGGATTGGACTGCTGAGTCTTATGTAGTTCCGTGCTTAACTGTTTGAGGAACTGACCAATTTCTGCAACAATTATACCATTTCTTTCTTTTCCTTTGTAATCCAACATTTATGGAAACAAAAGATGACCAAATGTGATGATTTCGTCTACTGGTCATTTTCATGGCCCACAAGATTTCTATCCTGGCTACATTTCTCAAAGTAGTTTCTAAAGAGATAAAGCATTTCTGCCTTTATTGAAACAATGTTTTCCCTATGCAAAGCTTGTACCTCCTAGAATATTTCTTGCCCTTCAGGGCACAATACAGGTTAAAAGTCCAAGACTCTTAAATTAATGTTTTAGATAAAAATTTAGATAGGAAGAATCTGTGGCAAATCTTTTTCACAGAAATGCTTCTGTTGTCATTATTTGCTGTTGAACTGGAATTAAATCATAGATGACCCTTCAGTGGGTTTTCAGAGGCTATCAATCACATGGGAGGAGACTGTCACGTATAGTCCTTCGAGCTGCTGATAGATTCAAACTGCTGGCCTTAGGGTTGGCAGAACAACTCCTTACCCACTAGACTACCAGAACCCACTAAAAAAACAAAATAAAACAAAACAAAAAACCACAAAAATACACCACTGTTGAATTTTCCTCTATATAGACAGGAAATTTAAATGTCAGACTAACATGTATAATGTAGATTAGCCAAGAAGTCAGGTTACTTGTCAATATAGATGGATATTTGGTTGCCCAACCTATGTGTTAAAAGAAAAATAATACCCTCTGTCATCAAGTCAATTCTGTTTTGAGGAGAGTCAATAGTGTCAGAATAGAACTGTGTGGTGACAGACTCCACAATGCTGGGTTTGAAGGAATAGATAGCCAAACCTTTCTTCCAACTGGACTACTTCAACTGGCCTCAAACTTCTAACTTTTCCGTTATCAGTGGGGCATGTTAACTATTTGTGCCACCTGGGAGGCCTATCCATGTACTAGTTATAAGTAACTGGGAAGCTGCTCTCTTGTTTTATAAGCAAAAGTTAGGACTCTCACAGACCTTGATATGAGAGCCAATGATGACATATCAGCTAAATTAAAAAGACATGTACATCTTTTGTTCATAAAGAAAATAGAATTTTGGGTAGAGGAAAAGGGAAGAGAACATCTTTATATTCAAGTACTTAGAAATCTTTTGTTGTCGTTGTTGTTGTTGAATGACAGACTCGGTGTTCTCTCTGGCTAATGTAACCTTTAAAGGAACATATCAAGTGGGGAAGAGGTGTTATTTGAGGAGTAAAGGGACTTTTTAGATCTCTGAACAAATATATATTCTAAATGTTGAACTGTTGATATTCTAGTTTCAAACCTGTAGGGCTTGTGATTTTGGAAATTTATTTGCAGCAGCAAAACAAATCCAAATGCTGTGCAACAAAGGAAATGAAGGCATTAAATAGGCGTTTTCTTTTTTAAATGAGTAATTGAGCAAACTACTAGGAGAAAGTGTTTGAAGTTTTCCAGTAAGCACTGTGTCCATTGATGTCTGAGCTGGAAAATGCATAATTGGATCTATCTGCACTGTAAGTTTTTATTCAAAACTAGTAACCTTCACTTATGAACATACACATGTTTGAAGGAAAATATTTCTACACAGACATTTATATGTGTGCCAACACTATCTATGAAGACAGGAGAGCATAAAAAGGGCAAAGTTATGAAAACTCCCTATCTATAACAAAGGCCTTGAGGGAATAAATCACTAGTACTATGGCTCAAGACACTAATCTCTGGGGACTTGTAGGGTCAACTGGCATAATATAATCCACAAAATAATGTCCTACATGCTACTCAGGTAAGAAGTAACTATGATCTTACAAGCTTTCAAGCATCCCTCTAAGATACAACCATTGTTCCTTTCCTCTCTGAAGCACAGTAAAGAAAATCAAAGATGCAGGGACATAATTGGTCTAAATATTAATGAACCACATAAACTTGAGTCTCCCCAACCCTGAGACCAAAAGAACCTAGATGGTGTCCAGCTACCACTATTGACTGTGCTAAACAGGATCACAGTAAGATGTCCTGGAATTAGTGGAAGGAAAAATGTGGGACAAAATTTAAAATCCTAAAAGATCAGGCTAACTTGTCTCAAAAAGACTGGTGGAATCCTCAAGAGTAAAGCTGTAGTATCCCTTTAGGCCTGAATCAGAATTCACACCCAAGGAGCAATTTTCAGCCAAACAGGACCATAGGAGCACCAGGAAGGTATACACTTTCTAAAACAACCAAACATATGAGGTCAAAGGGCAACATTTGTTCAGGAACAAAACCCCAAAAGCAAGAAGGGACAAATGGCAATGGTAAACACGGGGAAGAAATGTAAAGAGTGCTGCTACACTGAGGGGACTGCAACTGATGTCATGAATCAAAATGTGTATGAATTGTTGTATGGTTAACCAATCTGCTCTTCCACCCTAACCACAATAAGAACTTTAAATACATTAAATGCAAAACAAAGCCAACTAAAGACTCATTAATACCCTGCATCTTGGAGAAAGGATAGCCAAAGTGTTCCTTGGAGGCAAAGATGAAAAAGCTTCATCTCACACACTTTGGGCATATTGTTAAAAGAAGATATAGCTTGAAGAGGAACATCATGCTTGGAATGGTAGAGGATGGCCAAAAGAGAGGAAGACTTTCAATCAGATAGATAGATAAAATGACTGTAGCAATGAGGTCAAGTATGTCAGAGAGTGTAAGGATGGCATAGGATAGGACAGGGTTCAGATCTGTTGTTCATAGGGTTGTTATACGTTGTACATGACAGCATCTAACATTACAACAGTATCCTTACATATACTGTCTCATATCTACTAATTCTAGGGGAAGTGAGGTGATGAATGATGAGCCTTCGGCACAAACATGTGAGAAGGAAATCCATGATCCAAGAATCCATACAGAACTACTAAGATCCCCAGAACTCTAGGATGGGGTCCTTAGAAAAAGCCAAGAGAACAATAACCATACAGAGTATAGGATGCTGATTTTTTTATTTTACACAATTAAAGTCACCTTCCAAGTTGTTCCAAGTGCATGACAAATACCAGCTTCCACTACCAAAAAAACCAACCAAACAAAACCCAAAACAAACAAAAAACACACCCCACAAAAAACCCTCAAACATCTGTTAATGTTAATGACTTCCCCGTCAAATATCTACTTATCACCCATTCTAAACGGTTTAGAATTGTTTAGAGGTCTTTGAAAAATTTGGTAAAAAAGGATAGAAAAGTAAAGAAAAGAGAAACATGGCATCTACTACAGTTAAAATTTATCCCGTCCCTAGTGGTGGTTCTGTGATAGCATTCTCACTTCCCAGGAAACCCAGGTTCAATTCCCAGGCAATATGTTTTAAAAGT